AAATTGAGTAATGTGTAGTTATAGTAAAACCTTCCGGTGAATGGGATGTGAAGAATTTAAAATATATTTATCTTGCACTTATGTTAGTAGTAGCTAGAAGATAATTTTTTTTTATTGGTATTACAATATTGTGATATAATAACTTTTTTGAGTTTAATAAAGAACAATAGAAGGGTGAAATTTAAAACTACAACATGAATTTTTTTGTTCGATTGTGTCTTAGCACAGAAATTTGGCATTGTTTGTTCTTTTATTTTTTTTCTACTTTAATTATTTTTCCCTTAAAAAAAAATTGAGAATTTTGGGATAACAAAATCACATCTTGTATCACGTGTATAAAAATTAGATTTCAAATAAAATAAAGAAAATCAAAAGTACAACATGAATTTTTTGGTTCAATTCTCTTTGAACACTTAAATTTGGCATTGTTTGTTTTTATATTTTTCCTGCTTTGATTAATTCGTTTTTCTACTTTGATTAACTTCGTTTTTTTTATTAGATCTTATTTCAAATAAAAGAAATAAAATCAATTAAAACTAAATATCCACCTAAAAACCATTTACTCAAAAGCATATAAATTTATTTATAAGAATATATATAATAGAATTACTATTTGAGAAATTCAACCAAATTATCTGCTATAGTACAATATAGTGAGAATAATCCTATAAGAATTGTAAAGTTTCTAGCAACGGTTAATACAGTTCTAAAATTAGTATAAAATAATTTCCTTTTTTTATATTATCCTAAAATTAAAAGAACTAAAGTAAAATATTAATAGAAAACTCTAAGAGCCTGTTTGGAAAGCCACCTTGGAATTGGATTTGGGTGTAATTGAGTGTAATTACATAGTTTGGCATGTTTGTTTGGCCAAGTAATTACTTGGTCAGCATGGAATTAGGGGTAATTGGAGGGGTGTAATTACACTCTCCAATTCTCAAGGGGGTGGTGAGAATTGGTGGTAATTACACTATGTAATTACAAGGTTGCTTTTTAGTTTCTTTCTTTTTGTTTTTATTTTAATTTATTTTCTTCATAACTTTTTATTTTTATTATTTTTATTTTTTTAATTTTATTTTTACTTTTTAATTTCTTTTGAAATTTTAAAATATATTTTCTTTGTACGTTATTTATCTTTTATTTCTCTATCTTTACTTCTTGTGATTCCATGTAATTGCTTATATTTTATTTTTTATTTATTTTATTATTCTATTTTTTGAAACTACACCTCCTAATATTAGAAATAATGAGTCATTTATAAACTTGGCATATAATGAGTGATGCAATTAAAGTGGAACTTCGTTGTTAAATGTGGTTATAAACTTATCATGTTTCCTATCTTAAGTTGCAGTGAGACCTACTATTATTATGTTGGAATTTGACATAAGTTAAACTATTTTATTTTTTGAATTTTTGAAATTGTGTTATATTCATGGTTCCAATTTACTTATTTTGTAGTATTGACTCACATTGCATGTTGTTCATTTTTTAGTTAGAATTGGTAGATTAGTTTTGTCAAACATTTGAATAATGTTATGACACTATATTTATAAATATTAATTTATTTTATCAAACATGAATTCCATGATGTTCTTACAAAACGTATATTTTATTTAGTTTTTGTAAGTATCTAAACTAAATATTATTAATTTAAAATATATATAAATTATTTTAACAATATTAGTTATAAATATATGATTATTAATTAATGTATATTCATGAAAAATATACATCTTAAATACCAAATATATTATCATTTATACTTATAAAATCTTATAGGCATGTATTTATTATATTAAGTTTTAGTTTTGATAATTATTTAATTTAAAATTTAATCTAACTGTGTAATTACACTTGTGCAACCAAACAGTAAACTTTTAATTACACTATAATTACACTATGACAAACAAACATGCTATCGTAATTACACAACTATGTAATTACTAGGCTGTGTAATAACTACCCTATTAATTACACCAATTCCAATTACAAGGTGGCTTTCCAAACAGACTCTAATAGAAATTTAGCCCTTTTTACATGAAGCATTTTTAGAGCAAATTAATGAGTAAAATATTCAAATTAAATTGACTCTTTAGCGATATATAATATTAAAAGAAAATCTACTTTTTCTTTCCTCTTATTAAACTTTTGATTTTTCCTTTTTTGTGTTGGTAATTGGTCATTTTTCTTTATTGTCTCTCCGATCAGTAGATTTTTTTTTCTTTTGTTATATTCACGAAATAAATGTGAAATTAGAATTTCCAGATGTGATAGTAACCTAGAAGTATTGAATAGTGATATTGTGTGATGGACAATAATTTTATTTGGATTCTACCGTACATTCTCATTCAAACGGGATTTAGAAGCAAATATATGTGCTTTTTCTTTCATTATTCTACTTGAATAAATTATCATTGGTACGATATTTGTACGTCTGATTTATTTATATATAAATGTAATTTATTATTTCTCACGATATTTTATTTTTTCAACAAACTCACAACAAAAACAACAAAAACAAACCCAGTTTGATCTCAACAGGCGGGCTCTGGGGAGGGTAGAATGTACGTAGACCTTACCCCTACCTAATGCAGGTAGAGAGGCTGTTTCCAATAAACTCTCGACTCAGGAAGGACAAAAAGAAGAAGAGGAAAGCAAGAAAGGAAGAAAGAAGGAAGAGAAAAGAGAAGTGATGAGATAAAGGACAAGTAGTACCAAATAATAGCAACATAGAAATAAATTATTTTCTTGAAATTATTTGCGTTCTACCGGAAACGATCGCGCGAAGCGCGGATTAATTTACTAGTTACCCATATAATTCGATTTCGTACCGGAAAGATCATATATTATGGAATAATATGCTCCGTAATAAAAGAAATTTTATATTCAGAATTCGGGTCGGCGGTGAATTGTCGATGGAGGGAGTCTTGTGTGGGGCCCTTTCACCCAATCCCCATGCAACTCATCTCTATCCACTTGTGAACTTATATTTGGACGTTTTCCCAAATGGTCTCTGCAACTCGTTTTCTAAAAGAAAATATTACTACTATTATAGTAGTATTAATTCGCTGTTTTCACAAAACAAATGAGCATATAATAGGTGATTTTTTCAATAAATTGTAACATGATATAAATAATGAGTGAGAGTAGATTTTTCTCTGAGTTTTTTTCACTTCACATAAAAACGATAGTGGTTAAAAGGTCATAATCCAAATAATATGTACAAATTTTAAGGGCAACTGTTAGCAGCCATGGATGAAGGATCTGAAGTTTAGGTAGAGAATGAATTCAATCAGTAGAGAAGAGAAGAGAAGAGAGGAAGCACTGTTCCATTGAAATGAATTGAGAAAAAATAACTGCTCTACCCTTTCAGCTAAGACAAGAGACTATTTATACTATTTCTAATTACTTACTAACTACTTCACTAACTAACTAACCAACAGAGTTGGTATTTACAATAATGATTAACCATAGTTAATTATCAGCTTGTCTAATTAACCCTTCAACACTCCCCCTCAAGCTGATGGTTGATACACATTCTTCAGCCCAAAGTTGCTTAACAGATGCTCATGTTGAGCCTTTCCAAGGCTCTTAGTTAGTAAGTCTGCCAACTGATCTTCAGTATGCACATATTCAGTTTTCAGCATTCCCTCACACAGCTTTTCTCTTACGAAATGACAATCAATGTCAATATGCTTTGTTCTCTCATGAAATATTGGATTTGCAGCAATTTGGATTGCTGCTTTGCTGTCACATACTAGCTTCACTGGTAAACAGACTTTAACTCCCATTTCTGCATACAAACCCAACAGCCAAGTAACTTCTGCTGCACAAGAAGCCATACTTCTGAACTCTGCTTCAGCTGAGCTTCTGGAGACTGTGCTTTGCTTCTTGGACTTCCAAGATACTAAAGCATTTCCAAACTTCACAAGATACCCAGTTACTGATCTTCTTGTCTCCACACAGGCTCCCCAATCAGAGTCACAGTAGGCAGTTAGACACTTTGTGTCTTCTGCAGGCATAAACAGCCCAATGCCAGGTGCTTGCTTTATGTACCTTACCACTCTTGATGCAGCCTCCATATGGGAAATCCTAGGACAATGCATGAACTGACTTAGGACTTGTACTGCAAAGGCAATGTCAGGTTTGGTCATAGTTAGGTAGAGTAATTTCCCAACTAGTCTTTGATAAACACCAGGATCTCTTACTACTTCATCAACAGTAGCATCTTCTTTCCTGAAAGATAGATCATATGCTACAGTAGTCAGTTTCTGATTGAGTTCCATAGGTGTGTTAACTGGTTTTGCTCCACTCAGACCTGTAGTAGAGATCAACTCTAGAGCATATTTTCTCTGACTCATTTGGATCCCCTTGCTGGACCTTGCAAATTCAATGCCTAGAAAGAACTTCAGTTCTCCCAGGTCTTTCATTTTGAACCTGCTTTGAAGATCTAACCTTGTGTCATATAGCAGCTTGTGATTACTACCAGTAACTAAGAGATCATCTACATATACCAGTATGATCACAATATCATTCCCAACTCTCCTGACAAGTAGTGAGTAATCATAGTGACTTTGCTGAAATCCCATATGTGCAAGCTCTTCTGTAAGTTTGAGATTCCACTGCCTGGGAGCTTGCTTGAGACCATACAAGGATTTTTGAAGTTTGCAGACCTTCTGAGACTCCCCCTGTCTAGCAAACCCTTCAGGCAACACCATATAGACCTCTTCCTCTAAGACACCATTAAGAAAGGCATTATGAACATCCATCTGGTAGATGTACCATTGTTTGGATGCAGCAACAGCAATAACAGATCTCACAGTGACCATCTTGGCCACTGGTGAGGAAGTCTCTCCATAGTCTAGGTCCTCCTTTTGACTGTACCCCTTAGCTACTAGTCGAGCCTTGTACCTCTCAACCTCACCTGTGGACTTATACTTGATCCTGAATACCCACTTACAACCAACAAGGACCTTTCCAGGGGGCAGATCAACAACACTCTAGGTGTTATTTGCTTCTAGAGCTTGTAACTCAAGCTTCATAGCTTCTATCCACTTGGGGTCAGAAGCAGCCTCCTTGAAATTAGATGGTTCTGTGACTGCTGAATAGGCTGAGACTGCCTGCTTGTATGAGAGGGAGAGATTGTTGTAATCAACATGTGCAGAGATAGGAAAGGTGCATTTAGAGCCTTTAGCTTGAGTGACAAAGTCCTGTAGCCAAATAGGAGGCTTGCTTGGCCTAGAGGACCTTCTACAGCCCTGAAAGGGTTCAGCACTAACATCATCAGGAGCAATAATTGCAGGAGGAGATGAAGGAGCATCAAGACCAGCAGTTTGCTCAAGAGCAACATTTTGCTCAAAAACATGAATATTCTCCTCCAGATCAGAATTTTGAGGCAGGTCAACATCTGAGAGATGATTGACTTCTGAAAGCAAGGAAGGTGATGAGCAAGAAGCTGGTGCTGCAGTATCTGCTGTAGAGTTTTCATGAACAATTGGAGAGAGCAGATCCAACATAGGGAATACAGGATTGCCATATGACTTCACATGTTTGAAGGGAAAGACATCTTCCTTGAATATGACATTTCTGCTTACCAGAAATGTTTTGGAGTGTAGTTCATATAGAAGGTAGCCCTTTTGTGTTGAAAAATACTCCATGAGTACAGCAGGAACAGCTTTAGGGGAGAATTTGTCTGTTATTCTGGGAGTGGCAGCATAACATAGGCATCCAAAAATTCTCAAGTGATACAAAGAAGGAGAATGCAAATAAAGCATCTCAAAAGGGTACTTGTAGTCAATCACTTTGGAAGGAAGCCTATTCAGTATATAGACAGCTGTAGTAACACATTCACCCCAAAACTTTAAGGGAACAGAGGCCTGAAATCTGAGTGCTCTTGCCATGTTGAGAATAGTTCTATGCTTCCTTTCTACCACCCCATTTTGTTGGGGTGTATACACACATGAGCTTTCATGAACTATACCAAGACTAGACACCAAATTTTTAAAATCAGTGCTGAAAAACTCACTTCCACTGTCAGTCCTCAAGACTTTAACTGTGATAGAAATGCATTTTGAACTTGAGCAAGAAAGTTCTTTAGAACAACATATGCTTCAGACTTAGAGGTTAAGAGAGATATCCAAGTATATCTACTGTAGTCATCTACTATAGTAACAAAGAATCTTTTTCCATCATGAGTAGGACATCTGTATGGTCCCCAAATGTCACAATGCACCAATTCAAACATAGATTTAGTTGCAGTACTACTAAGCTGAAAAGGAAGTTTACTTTGTTTGGCTAATGGGAATACAGTACAATGTTGACTGTCATTGGTAGTCAACTTATTTAACTTGTCTACTCTTCTTATTACATCTAGAGGAGCATGTCCTAATCTCCTGTGCCATAAGCAACTTGAGCCTGCAAGAGAAGGGGCAGTAGCATGAGCAGTAACTGCAGATGCACTTTTAGTTGTCATTTGAGCTAAAAACTGTTCTGAGACACCTCCTTTAAGCACATAAAGTCCATGTTCCTCTCTACCAATCCCCTTCACCTGAACACTGTAAAGATCCTGAAAAATACAGAAATCAGGAAAGAAGCCTACCATACACATTAGTTCCTTGGTGAGTTGTGAAACTGAGAGTAAGTTGAACTTAAAATCTGGAATGTAGAGAACATTAGAGATCTTCTGATTATTCAACACAAATGTACTTCCTGTGTGTGAGATTTGCACTGCATTACCATTAGGGAGATGAACTATATTTTTCTCTGTTGTAGGGAGTAATGTATGTGTTTGCAGTAGCTCAAGTCTAGATGTCATGTGATTTGAGGCTCCAGTATCAATTATCCAATCACTATTGATACACTGAGACACAAAAGCATTCACATGAGTTAGAATACCTGCAGCAGCTACTTTGCTAGATGAGCCAGAGCCTTCTGTACTTCCTTTGGACAGCATTTGGACAATCTGCTGGTACTGCTCTTGAGTGAAAAATGGTTGTGTCTGTGTCATTTGTGGTGTTGTAGAATTATGTGGAGTAACTCCCTTTTGATAATAAGGTCCAGTGTTCAGTTGTTTTTCGCAGCTAATATGATCTTCATCTGCTGCAAAGCTTGAATTTCCTGCAAAGTTAGCATAAAGTCCAGGTGCATTCCCTTTCCTTTTAGACTTAAATTCAGGTGGATAGCCTATTAGTTTGAAGCAATTTTCTTTGGTGTGTCCTTTATAATGACAGTAGTCACACTGTACATTATTCTTTCTTTGTATATAACCTCTATTGGTAACATTTGGACTCTTGTTTCCATATAGAGCAGTGCCCTCTAAGCCTTCTGCAAGCTGTGTAACCTGGGCCATGCTTGCTAGATTTCTTTGACTATCCTGATCAACAAGAAGTGAATAAGCCTTGTTGATAGTGGGCACTGGAGTCATCATCATAATTTGACTCCTGGATTGTGCATAAGAGTCATTCAAACCAGTGAAAAACTGCAACAGTCTTTGGGCTTCAAAGTGTTGAGCATATAGCTTTGACTCAGGACATGGACATCCCGGGCAAGGCATTAGAGCATCAAACTCTTCCCACAGATCTCTCAACTTTGAGAAATAATCTGCTACAGTCATAGTTCCTTGAGTCAAATTATGCATTTCTCTGTGAAGAAACAGTACTCTAGAACCATTTACTTTGTCAAACCTTTCTTTTAGATCTTCCCACACCTTATGAGCACTAGATGCATAAAGCACACTACTCAACAAACCAGGTCTTACAGCATTCATTATCCATGACAACACAACAGTATTAACCTTTTCCCACAAATCATGAAGTTCTGGTTCGAATTTAGACTTAGGAAACCTTCCATTAACAAAACCTAACTTGCTTTTACCTAACAAACCAATCCTCATAGCACGACTCCACAAGGCATAGTTATCAGATCCAATCAATTGAATAGAGACTAGAGAACTACCTGGCGTGTCAGTTGGTTGTAGGTACAATGGGTGATTATGATCGATAGAAGGAAATGACGAACCAGAGGCGGCAGTTGAAGTGCGAGCTGTAGTGTTGTCTTCTTCAGTCCCAATCGCCATTGTAGACTTCACTTTGAGTGTAGAAACTTCGAACCCTAGCTTCGATTTTATGATTACTCTAAGACAATTCTGCTTTTGCAGAAATTGAAGTAACCTAGAAGCTGAGCGTAGAAATCAGAGGAGAGAGCTAATGCAATGACAGTTCAGATCATTTCCAATGGCTCTGATACCATGTTAGCAGCCATGGATGAAGGATCTGAAGTTTAGGTAGAGAATGAATTCAATCAGTAGAGAAGAGAAGAAAGGAAGCACTGTTCCATTGAAATGAATTGAGAAAAAATAACTGCTCTACCCTTTCAGCTAAGACAAGAGACTATTTATACTATTTCTAATTACTTACTAACTACTTCACTAACTAACTAACCAACAGAGTTGGTATTTACAATAATGATTAACCATAGTTAATTATCAGATTGTCTAATTAACCCTTCAACAGCAACAATCACTTTTAGTCCGCAGACAAAACTATTTATATTCAGTTGCCACAAAATTGTATAGACACAAAATATACATCTTTTAAGATATTATTTTTTAGAGCGGTTATACAGTGTCATATTTCCAAATTTTAACAAACAGATTTATTATCACTATGTAACATAATGAGAACCCTGGCTTTTATTTGAGCCGAAGAGTTTTATTTATATATATAGTGCAGGAGTGTAAAAAAATGAATACTTTATGAGTTTTGATTTATGTGGCATAATTTAACTGGGCATGGAGTTTAATTTTTATTTTTTTTAAAATTATAATCTTAAATATATCATTAGATTTTTTTGGCTCTAAAAGATATGTCATTATCGATAAACTAAGAATTTTAAACTAAAATTATTTTTAAATATACAATAAAAAAATTCCTTTGAAAAATGTACTTACTTGAAAATAATAGTGCCAGATGAAACACAACCGAGGGAGTAAAAAAACAAATTTAAATATAAAACTACTCGGTATTTAAAAAAAAATAGAGTTAAATATAAAATTTAGAGTCCCATTTAGATGACGTATAAAATCTGGTTTCACTAAATATAAAACCTCCGCCACTCAACTCGGTTGCTGTCTCTCTCTATAATTACGCTTCTCTTGGCGCCTTGAACTCAGCACACTTTTGACAGTTAGTTATCAGATCTGTAGTTTTAGTGTAGGACTCGAACCTCATCTCATGAACTAAGATTCGTAAAACCCTAAGGAAAATAATGGTGTACACACTCTCTGGTGTTCGTTTTCCTACTGTTTCATCGCTTCACAAATCCCCTGCTTTCACTTTCAATGTTGATCAGAGGAATCCTAACATTTCTGTCTTCTTGAAAAAGCACTCTGTTTCGCGTACTACCCTGTCCCCTTTTCTGTGTGTGTGTTTGTGTTTGTGTATTCTTTGGTTTGTTGTAATTGGGTATTCTCTATAGTTAGTACTAAAGTATATTCTCTCAAAAAGTAAAAATGTAAGAATGATCAGTGGTTATACTTCTTTTCCCTCTTTTGTGTGATCGAATATTTTTGAATTTTGTTTTTTTAGTTGATTTGTTGATTGAATAGTGAAAGTTGAGGTTTTGTCTAGAAAATGGGGCTTCTAAGCTACTAAGTGATGTCATTGTTGTTCTACTTTTTGTAGACTCCACTATAGAAATTTCTTGATTTACCATGAGAATATTGTCACTCTGAAGAATGAGATCCTTTTAACATTAGTTTAAGCTAGATGGGACTGTTTGATTCCGAGAGACTAAACATGTAGTTGAAATAGTTTGGTAAATTTGTGCTTGGAGAAAAAACTTTTTTATTGCTTCTGCAGCATCACTTCTAGTCACACAAATCTTTGCTCTCTTCAACCTTGATTAATTGACATTTAAGTAGCATAGTGGAGATATAACACTAATCTGATATATATATGTAGGGAAGATCTTTGCTGAAAAGTCTTCTTACGAGCCCGAATCCCGATCTTCTACAGTTGCAGCATCAGGGAAAGTCCTTGTTCCTGGCAGCCAGAGTGGTAGCTCCTCATCCTCAACTGAACAATTGGATGTTGCTGATACAGTTCCAGAAAATTCCCCGGTATGTTACGGTATGTTACATTAATCTTCAACCGCATGAAAGGAGAGTTCTTATTATTTATCTCTTTTTTTTAGGGGGGGGGGGGGGAGGTGGCAGATTTTCTTGCGGAAAATACTTCTAAATATATATCGTCCTGGGTCTGCGTAAGTGAAATTGTTATTGCATTTTGTTCCCATAAGAACAGTGTCGTAAAAAGTGTTACCAGTCTTCTCTATATTTCCGTATTCTAGATGCCTGATGCATGGCTTCTAGCTACAGTTGATGTATCGTTGCTAACTCATGCGAACAAATTTGTGTGCACTCTTAGTTCAGAGGGAGGCATGAGTATGCTTTGGTGCCCTTAGGTTCTCCCAGTACATAATAGTAGAAAGTTATCTACCCCTATTACCTGCAAATTTGAGGTGTTAGGCATCATATAAGCAAAGAGTGCCTATAGAACCATGATAAGTAATATACAGTAGCTCATCCTATCACACTTAAAGCCCTTTGTACAATCAGTTTGGGATTTTGTAGAGAGATCCTTTCCATAATATTGGAATGCCTAAGGCTTATTGAACAGTCTTGTTTAGATAATTGCAACAGACACATGCTTATCTCAGTTTATGGAAAAAAACTTTTTGGATCCAAAATCTCTATTCCAATAGGTGACCTATTTTGTCTCACACAAGTAGCAATTGAGGAAGCTAACTTTGAACAAGATAAAGACACAAAAGGAGAGACTGTTTTCTTTTGAGTGTGATAATCTTGAAGACTTGTGATAAAAGAGTAGTAAGTGTATGTTATTCTCTATGATATTGATATTATTTTCTCTTTAGTCATGGTTTTTTCCTTGTCTGAGAATCGGAAGTTTCAATGTCTACCATTATTTCCCTTTATTTTACTGTGGGTGTCTTTTGTCTCAACAAATGGCATCAAAACACTCGGTTGTATTATCCCTATCGGTATATTGCATGTCCCTGCCAGTGGTACTAGGACTAGGCAATAGTTTGGTTCCGTGTAAGCATGGGCAGCATTCACAGGTATAATACAAATTATCCTCATAATACTATTCATACATACGAGTTTTATATGTAGAGGCACTGTTTACATTCCATACATGAGCTGATGAGCACTATCCACAGTAAATGTCCTAAAATTGATAGAAGGTAATTAGACCCGTCATACTTGTACGACCAGCATAGATGTCTTTTGGACAAGGGAGCACTATTCGACGAATACTAGTGCAGGGCGTGCGTAGCTGCACCGCATCATTAGAGGAGGACGTGAAACTAGTTTTGTCGTGGGAATTACCATTTGGTATCAGGAGAAATGCATTTTACTATAAAGTGGGGACTAAGGCATCGTGTAGCAGAGGATATTGAATATAGAGCACCATTCATGGGAAGCTCAAGTAAAATGGAAAGGCACAGTTTTAAAGTGCCAAGACACAACTTCTGAGGAGGTTTGTTTGTGGAGGAGCGACTTCCAGAAGACAATAGAGAATGCCACTGGAGCTTGCCTAAAAACACAGCTCTGGAGAAGCTTGGGCGGGAATGTTCAACTTGTTTAACGCAATTGGAGAGAATTTTATCGATGGAAAAAAATCTTGCTTACATCCTCTCTGTAACTACATAGGATGAGATCTCATTGCGTTTTTGGTCATTAAAGCTCTTGGGTGGGAATGTTCGACTTGTAATCTCATTGCTAGTTGCTAGATAAACATAGAAAATGTGGCGGTGTAGCCTAAAGACTTTTTTTCCTATGCTGTCCACTTTTAGGTTTTCAGAGTACAAAAAATGACGGAGGCAATTGACAAGTGAGGGTTGTTTGGAAGCTTTTTCTCGTGGTTACGAATTCTTTCTGAAGGTATTCGAGACCGACCTTATGCAAAACCTTGTCAGTTTCATGCCATAATGTTATTCGTTGACGCCAACTTGGTACTTCTTTGGCCCACACTCAAACGTAAAGCGGAGTGAAAAGGTAATATAGGTTGTAATATCTGCAGATAAAAGAAAGAGAAACAGATTACATTTTGTATTTGGAGACTCCATTCAGAAAATCAAAATGAACTGTTTAGTACTTTTTCTTTTTTGGTGTAAAGAATGCCCTGTAAATGATAGTGACTCCATACTTGATATCATAGAATCCTTGTAAGTTTTTGTAGTGGGGGATTCTTTTACTTTTTGGGGATGTAGCTTTTAGCAGCACAAACTTTGTGCTGATCTATATTTATAAAATGTTATCATTCTCAAAAAATTTTGGAGACATGTAATAGCAGCGGTTAATTCTTGAAATGCTCAGCCCTTTACTAAAAATAGCTATCATCTAGTTTCTAGCAATCTAGGCATGGTATATATTGGAATTTGAAGTATTTATCTCAGACAACAGGAGTGATTCCCGGAAAGTGACCTTCCGAAGCTAATATTTACGAGAAGGAACTGTCTGGAGCTCGTGTTACAGCTAATTGTTTTGAAGAGAATCTATGTACTTCATCCCTTTATGGTAGATCGTTTTACTTTCTGATTTTTTTTCCTTGGAATATATGTATATTATATCAGATTTGTAAGCCTAACCTTACAGTAGGTGCTCCTTCTTCCCTTTTGTAAATTTGCTCTACTGAGAGGGGCTGAAGTGCCAGTCACTAATTGCCTGTGAGCTTTGTTGCCAGTGCTACAGGTATCAATTATCGGGAGTGGGCTCCTGGTGCCAAGGTCAGTATTTCCTTTCTTGTTTTGTTTTAGATTCTCTATGATTAAAAGGACCACAAAATTGATAACCACTTCTTTTTTAAAGTAAAAGGTGAGAGAAACTAAGAGAAAGTAGAAAGGAGAAGATTTATGTTTTAATTCTCAAGAAAGCTGTTTAAGGATTTCTGACCTAAATATGTTTCTTTTCTGATAGTTTAGAATATTGTAATTGCTCCACAGTTTCTGTCATTTGCACATATTATGATCTTCACCCTGGATGGACTACTGACCTAAAAATGAGGATAAGATTCATTTGGCTTAAGTTATTAAAGTTAGGCTTTGTTACTTGATAGCATTACTCGCTAGCTCTGCAAGCTTGATCTGGGCCTCGACTTGGTGAACCATTGACTTAGTTTGTAAGACTTATTCTGGTCCAATGTGATGGTCACTTTGAGGATGGTGTGAGAATGGACATATATTAAGTCATCTTTTCAGAATAAAGATCAAGAACTGAGAAACTATTTTAAGATACTCCGGGTTGCAAACTTATGTATCCCAAAATAATTAGTGAATCATCTTTCTTCTGCCACTTGCAAGTAAAAGATCTTTTTGGCATGTAAGAATTAGCTCCTAGGATTCCAAGAACTACACCGACTCAAGATCAGCCAACTAAGTACAAATTTGTCTTGAGGAACACAATCATGATATTTTGACCTGGCTTGTCTTATGCCAGTATAGGTACCCATAACAGCAAATCAAGTATTTCTCTTTTGGTTAGGGGGTGCTTTTATCAGAATAAAATATTGTTTCTTGAGTTTAACTAAGTCTGATGAGTTCAGTACGCTGATTTTAGATCGAGGAGCCTTCTAAAAGAAAGGAGAATCCCTTCGGCAACACATAATTGATGGATGTATGGCAGAACATTTTTCTGCCAAAGCTGCAAATTCTGACGTTTTGTGTAAACTGTTTCCTTCATCAAATCCAACTGAAGGTATAAAAGTCAGTATCACAACAGTATGTGAGGAATGTAACCACCTTAAATACCTCTCTAATCTTCTTCAAGGCTCCATATTTATATATATACATACATCTCTTTTTCTTTTCTTTTTCTTCTTTTATCTTGCAAATATGTATATTTTTTTCTTTTTATTTATTTTGCTTTTGGAGCTTGAATAGTTTCATACCTTGAGGTATACTTTCCATCACTCACTGTACAACCTTGCCAATTTTTGGCTTGACACCACACCCCCAACTTAGGCTTTTAGCCTCATTCTCAATGTTCAAGGAGGGATAAGTTCAAAAGAGGGAATTATTTTACAAAAGGGGAAAGGTTTGTAACGAGGTGGCCAAAGAAAAGGTTAAAGGCTCAAGTGGGGTAACTAGTGATAATATCTATACAATGGGTAGCTTGAAAGGGTAACTGGTTTTCCAAAATCACAATGACTGCCTAAGGTCATTTCTCCAACCAAATGTAATTATCATTAGCAGCAAAAGACCAACCGGGCAAGTTCTAGATGGTAGAAGTAAACACAAGAATTATTTATACAAAGACTCACACACATGGCACATGAACTGTTTGACTCAACATAGTTTTAGCCCTTGAGTCAACACTTGGCAACTCGAAGCTTTCATCATATTTACATGTATAACTCTAGGTAAACATAGAGTCAAAGAGCGAGCCTCAAGTTCACACAGTTGATTTCCTTTTTTATATTAATGGAAGGGTATGGGCTATTTACAGGAACACATGCTTGAAACTAGATAATTACACCAAACCGATCGAAATATTTGATTCTACTGCCATGGTTCTGCTATTACACCCTTAAAAAAGAACCTGGCGAAGAAAAACCAAGGGGGATTCATTGCTAATTACTAAAGATGAACATGCAACTATCTACTTATTTTTGGTTTTTTTTACATACAAAGATAACCTATGTACGAAAACCACACAACACAAGTATATACAGAATCATAACACAAGTTTGCTGATATAACACAAAAACATGTACAAGAGTTTAATTCACAAAAAAAAAGTTTGTACAAGGCTATCCCACTCCCAACTGAAAAACATGCATTGTCCCCAATGCATAAGAATGTAAAACAGAGTTTAGGGGCTCCCTGAGGTGCACTAAGCTCTATGGGAGTCGGAAGCCGGCTGAATGATGGTGAGGTCACCCTCTGATGGTGAAGCTGGGACCGAGGAGATCTCGATATGAGGAGTGACCTCCACTGATGGAGGAGGGATCTCCAACTCGCTCGAAACTGGAGCTAGGGCTGTGAGCTGCTAGCCTCGCCTACTGATAGCTGAGTGTTCGATGGATTTGCTTGGGCGACCATGTCTGCTAGCGAATGTTCGATTGCCTTCTGAACAACTGCTTTTTCCTCCTCTTCAACTGTAGGGGCAACAATCTGATTACCTTTCTCCTGAGGACCCTCATCCTCCTCGGACCATGACTCCTTATTAGTCTCTCCCTCACCTGCCTCCCTACCTACTAACTCTGCAGAGTGTCCGGAATTTTCCTCAGAAGGGATGTCTATGTGCAGGTGCAGCTGGAGTTTGGGAAGCCCCGACAGTTTGAGGTGCAGGAGCTGTCATCAAGGTGGAGAAGTCAAGATCCAATCCAGCCACTACTGTGTCCACTCCTTGCTTACATTCCTTGGGCATAAGAGAGGATAGATCGAACTCGAGAGTCTGCATTTTGTGGAGTTCAGTCTTCATTGTGGAAACATCATCACGGAGCATTGGTAAGTCGCCAACCTCACCCCGCTCTATCTTTTCAATCCGCACCTCGAGCTGCTTCAGGCGATCCCCATAAGATGTTTATTGCTGTTGGAGGGACGTCACTGAAGACTGGATAGGAGTCAATGTCGTCCTGATGAGGGTAGGGAGGTTCTTCAGAAGCTGGTCTACCTTAGCATTTGCATGTTGAGCTAAGAGACCAAGCCTCGAAACAGCTAGCAGTATGGCAGAAGGCTGAGCAATATTGGCTTGAGAGGTGGGCTGTGGAGGAGGCAACAATAGCCTGAGGAGAAACAAGAGTTTGGGAGTTTGAGGGCTTTGTATCAGCAGGAATCTGGGTCTGAACCTCTGGGGGAGCAGCAGCTACCGGTGGCACCGCGTCATTTATGCGCGTGATATCAATATCCTTCAGCGCTTTTCTCGCCCTGTCAATGTGTAGCATTAAAGGAACATCCACAACCTTACCGAGGGATGTGATCAGGCATGGGAATGGAAGTGACGTGGCTGTCTGTTTGGCCTGGATCCCTATCTCTCGAAAGATAAAGTCACCCACATCAATTTTTATCCCAGTCATAATGCATGCAATGGGAAGAGCCTTCTCAATGCTTATATCAGTTTCATTCCGGGACGGTATCAATCGAGAGGTGAAAAAAGCTGAGCCAGAATCTACCCTCTCGTGTGAGATCTTCCTTGAATATTTTGTGCAGAGGGTTAATCCAAGAAGGGGTCCCAGATCACGCCCAACTCTAGTCCTAAAAAGGATAAGCGGTCGCTGCAAATATAATTCGGTCTAAAAGTCCGGAGTCGAATCCCACAGAGAACTAAGGCTTAGCTGTATCTGTTTAATATCACCAAGAAGACAAGATTGAAAATAAATAAACAGCTGAAAACTAACTATGCTTGAATTGTAAACAATTAGAATAAAGGTATAAGGTAATGGTTTCCCCCGCTGTTGATTTCCTTGGTTGTACGTTTCTTATAGCGTTGACTTAGTTGCCTCTATCAATCATGAACTCTCCAGCTATCATAAATCTCTCTCAAGCAATTATGATAATTTACTAGATGCACTCTCTCAAGCTACGCTAGCTAGATTCGCATTACAGTTCACTTAGATCGCACCCGAGGTATCGTTATCTCTAATCCAACCTCTAAACCCTCGGTTATGACTCTCGCCTATACTCCGGGAGTGATGTTGTTCAAACAACTACCTAAATATGCACTCTCTCTCAAGCAGATACATAATAAATAGGAACGGCTAATTAAGGATCCTTTCAATTAACCACAATCAAAACATAGTTGAACAAATAGAGATTAAACTAATTCAAATCTATATTACTTATAACAACCAATTCATCCCCAACGGGTTTCACCAAAACCTTAGATTAGAAAAGTTAGCTACTCATGAAAATAACAAAAATTACAAACGAATTCATATTCAAAGGTAAAAGAACAAAGAAGAAGATTAAAGATTGATGCCCAATGATCCTCCTTGCCTCTTGCCCCCAAGGGTGTTGTCTAACCCTAAAGTAGTGTCTCTCCCTTCAAAGTAGTGTTTTAGGATGTATTTATATGACCTAGGGTTGATGAGGGGCGAAATTCTTCAATCCAACTTCGGATGGGAGAGCTGGAATCCGCGTCTGCCTTCGCGTCTAGACACGGACTTTGACGCGGATCCGCATTTGCCTTCGCGTCTAGACACGGACTTTGACGCGGATCCAGCTTTTTGAGATTCTTCCATTTCGCGAAGCGCTCCGTGCCTTTTCTTCGCTTCGCTGTTTTGTGCCTTAACTTTTCTCCTTTTTCGCGTTCGACTTCGTGCCACGCAAGAGAATAGACGAGCTCCCACTCCTTTAATTTCTTCTTTTTGTGTCGAATTGTCATCTTTTGATCATTTAGCATCCAAACTCGTTCCTACACATAGGAAACACATAATGAGTATATTTCACTTCGAAAATCATGTAATCTCCCACGACACACACAAAAATTAATATGCAAATATACTAAAAAATATGCATTTTTCATCATTTATCAACACCCCACACTTAAACTCTTGCTCGTCCTCGAGCAATCAATATGCACTTTTTTTTATAGACACGACCTTTTTAAACAATTCTCCTAACTCATCACACCAAGAGTATTTAAAATAGACTAAGCACAAAAGCATAACATCTTCACCTCAAGATTTGACTCATAAGTACCACGCATTATTCACAACTCACCCACTTAATCTAACATAGAGGTCACTGACATTACCTTTCCTTCATGAATCAAGTGCCCTCACACAATACGAGAGAGTAGTTCCACACAATAAAATTTAAGAACACTTAGGAACTCAAGATAGAAAGAATTCACTCACTCTCAGAAATAACATTCATATGCCATAAAAGATGCACCATAAGCTTGCCCGTAGTGTACTACTCCACTAATCGAGCTCATTCAATCTAGGATCAATTAGGACTTTATTTGGTTGTAATGTAGGCTACGGGACAGGTAGGATTCATTTAGATATAAGAGTGACTACACCTCCCTAAGCACTTTAATACATACATTTTAACATTTAAACCCCATACTTATGTCAAACCAAAATTCCACCTTCACATCAATGTAAATTACCCCATTCTTCTTTATGCACACTTACGTCAAGAGCCACCACTTATCAAGGAATTTGTTTTTCCACAACAATCCAACTATATTTTTTTTCAAATCAAGTGGCTCTTCCTTTTTCAAAACAGTGCACCTTTCTCCTTATTCAATTAGTTCCACTCAAAAGCCAAACCAGCCACCCCACACTTTAACTTTTACAAAGTTCATAACAATTCAAGTGCTCATGAGAGGTGAAAAGGTTCAAATAGATGGTTAATTCAAACAAATGGGTAAGGCTTGTAATGTGATTGCCAAAGAAAAAGGATTATAGGCTCAAAGAGGTTAACTACGATACATAACAATTAAGTGGGTAAAATATACATATCTGGCTCAACAAGAAAACGCCTATATCACTTCCAAGACTGAACAACACTACTATTTCGCTTTGCAAACACACGGGGCAAGTTCTAGGCATCAAATGCAATGCACAGAATATAACAAATCCTTACACACACATGGCACATAACTCACTCAGGATTGGTTTCATCAAGACACTCTAGTCAAAGCAGTTAAGCAAATATAAAATCATACAATTTAAGGTACTTATGCAAGAGTCAAAAACTGAGCCTAAGCGTCACAACCAAAGTACTCACTATTCTCAAGGCATAACCAAGTCAAGAGATATTGCTTCAATTCAAAACACAACATAATGGCTCCTACTCCCAATAAAAAAATTAACTACACCCGGTTCAAATAAAACCC